ATACTGAGTCCTCTGGAAGCGCTTGTTCAGTGCTTGAAGCTGCAGACTGGAGTATATCGTTCTTGGCTTGCGAATTTTCTTTCCTTTACCGTTCAACCTCATCTCTCCGCCCTCGATTATTTTGGTTTTTTCTAAGCAAGAGAAAAATGTAACTGACTTACAAAAGGTTGCTATTTGGAGAAAGTTAATGGTTAAAATTAACAACACACAAACGGTCAATGAAATTTACCTTCTGACGGCGACATTGGCGGAGGCTGGTAGTTCAGAAACGATGCATTTTGCGGATTTGATCTTCCGTATGGATCAGCAGGAGGACCAGGAAAGGAAACATTCTGGTAGAATGGGTACGAGGGCGCCAGTCCTTTTGGACTGAAACTGTGATCTCCCTGCTGCAAAGATTGCATTCCGGCATGAGGATACGCCCTCACCTGGTGATAAACGGCGTTCGTTCCGTAAATGTTAGCACCGGCATGGACGCTTAATTCGAGGAAAGCAGATTTGTTTGATCCGGCGTTCGCAAAATCCAAATCGGCATAGTTCGACAAATCTCCCGTATCGGGATTCACTTTGGCGAAATCCATTTACCCCGGCAATTTCGGAGATGCAGTTTTTGGAAGTGACAGACAGCTGTAATAATAAGAAGGCTATAATTACTTAAAATGAACAGATCGTAACTTTCCCGCCGGGTTGATCAGGCGAGCTGTTCAGACTTAAGAAACAATCAACTGACAGTCAAGAACTGCAACAAAACCAGTCAGTTATTCCACGTGAGATATTTTACCGAAGTTTATTTTCGCAAAGCTCCGCCCTGTTTCACTAAAGCAACTGTGGCCAATGGAAAAGCGGAACGCGTGACTAGCAGCGGAATGGACCAATGAATGCTCGGGAGGCCGTCTATTCGCCGCTTGACAGTTGTTAGAGGCGCCAGTGACCTCGACCCAGTTCTGTGTCACGGTTAGAGGCATGCGTTCTGTCTGTCTGTCGCGCACGAGCACACAGTGGCGGATGGAGAAAATCATCTTGTGTGATGAGTCGATTGTCGGCGGGGGGTTTTGACAAGCTGTTCAAGCAGAAGCAAGCCGGCCACGAGACCGGCGCCACGGTTGCCCTTTTCGACTGTTGTCAAGACAATGAAACACAAATAAATGTCCGCTGGTCTCGTTGGCGATGACAAAGGGGGCGCGGTTAGGGGGCGGCATAGCGGAGTCATTCCTCAGACGCACTCCCTTACCGGGCATGGCGGTGCGCTACCGCTTCCTACTGCACAGTTGAACAAAGCCAGACCGATGGTGGCGGGCGCGGGCGTCCGACCGGTCCATGGGCCGCCTATAACCAGCCAACGTGCTGAACGGTCAGAGGTCAGTTTTCAGGCACCACAACTGTAACGATCGTCGTTGGCAGATGCCATTAACGCGAACAAGAACTGTGTGACATTTGTGACAAAACAGACTACCGGCGCCGAACATCTGTATGCTGTAACAAACAACGACCGGCGTTTGGTCGACATGAAAAACTTTCCAAACTACGACGACGAACGCGCGCGACATGCTAACAGTAACCAGTAACCAGTTTGTTTTCAAGAACATTGTTCTACGACTCGAATTCAGTCAGACAAGTCCACAGGTGTTCCAATTTCGTGGTGAGCGTACATGACAATACCAATAAGTTGCGGCGAATCGGGTGGTCGGTCGACGAACGATACGTCAGCTCAGCCGGCCTGCCGGCCGGCTTTCGTTGAGGCAACGCCGCTTGGCGAAGAAGCTGTTTCCAACGGCAGGCATTTGCGCGGTTTCGATACATAAGCTGTTAATCACTCAAGAGTCCTCCACCTGACTCGATTCACCTCTCAGGCCGGTCCAATGTAACAATCAGTTGGGTGTAGGATTATGAGGAGAGCGCAGCGATGATTCCGCTTAATCCAACATCCATAATATTCATATTGACCGTAATTTGTACCGATGACTTTTTATGTGACACCGGATAATTCGTCTTAGTTTACTCATGCGGAAGTGGGCCGATAGAAGCAACACAGACTATTGCGGATGTGAAAATCCATC